AATCTGTTTCAATGCCCTAATTTGTTTTTCAGATGGTTCACGTAAACGGGGTTCAAATTGCGCCAACAAGTTTGGATTGTTAATCCGGACAAGGTTGGATATCTGACGGCGTAGTTGCGACGCCTCCTTCATAGCATTCGGTCGCAAAAACATTTCAGAGCAGAATTTTTCCCCGTTAGGGGCATATGCATATGCGCAAACTGCTGTGAGGAATTTCATAGCATCAGACTTTTCGTCGTGTTTGCTAAATATTCTCTGCGCTCTCTGATAGTCCTTTCGGCGCTGCTCTCTCGCGTCGTCTTCGAGCCTATCTGCGTTCGTGTAAACTTTGTCTTCCTCCTCATCATCTCCAACAGGTTTGTCTTTCGTTAAGTCAAGCTGGTTTTCTTGAACGAATACTTCCGACACTGAGAGCGCGGATACCAGGGCTATTGTATATGGCATGCAGTCATGCTGATGGCCGATATGTAACATTTTGCCAAATCTCGGGCTCAGGGGAAACAATGTAAGATGTCGACCTGCATCTGTGACCTGGCCATCCAGTGATAGAGCAGAGAGGTTTTTGAGAAGACGTTCTGCTTTGGCGAGACCAATACGGTCTGGAGGAGTAGGGAAAGGGAAGTTAATGATGTGATGAAGACCCATGTGCTTCATTTGCAACACCACCCCCTCGATAGGGGTACGGAGAATTTCTGGCTCTGTATGCTCTGCAAATGAATCTTCATAGACCGCAGATGAGTAGAGCCTGTAACAATGGCCAGGTCCTGTACGGCCAGCACGTCCAGCACGCTGGCTTGCACTCGCTTTACTGATCCATCCAATTGGGAAACTCTGGACACCAGTGGATAGGTCATACTGCTTCTCCTTTGAACGTCCACAGTCAAAGACGTATCTGATTCCGGGTATTGTCAAACTGGTCTCAGCGACGTTTGTTGCAAGCACAATAAGACGAGAACCTTCGGGCACCGGTTCAAAAATTCGAAGCTGTTCTGTTGTCGGCAATTGGGAATATAGAGGCAGTACGTGGACCGACGTCTTTGAGTCGACAGCACCCTCTTCCTCATCGAATTCATCATCTTCCTCGTCTTCATCTGTTCCCCGAATATCGATATCGCTATCAAAGTCATCGTCTCCATCAAAGGCGGTAGCAGACTCTCCTCCACGGCCAAAGTCAATATCGTCTGCCTCTACGGAGGCCTCTGACGGCCTGATCTGAACCTTGGCTTGTGAACGGCCGGAAGGCTGTGTGGATTTTAATGCAGCTTTGAGACGCTTTGAGAGGTCTTTGATTTCGCTCTGACCCGTGAGAAAGACAAGAAAACCACCGGGAGGTAGTTTACGATGACCCCTACAAACCTTTCGGAACGCCTCTTCAACATAATCTCGATGAGTTCGACGAGAGAAGTGAATAGTGACAGGAAACTGTCGCCCTTCCGCCTGGACTAGGGGTGGAGTTCCACTGCGAAAGAGATTTGGGTTTCGAAGGAAATCAGATGTCCGTAAGGTTGCAGACATGATGACTAGTTTCAACGGTTTTATGGATGGATTTTCTGCGCTCATGGTTTTTCGCAAATCCACAATACGGCTAACCATGCCTATTAGTAAATCGGTATTGACACTCCTTTCGTGGGCTTCATCAATGATGATCGTGGAATATTTCGAAAGTGAAAAGTCCTGTGCTACCTCTCTGATTAGGACACCATCTGTCATAAACTTGATTGCAGTCTTTGGGGTAACTGAAGTATCAAAGCGAATTTGATAGGATACCCTGTCCGAGAATTGAGCAAGCTCCTCGCTGACACGCTTCGCCATACTGACAGCAGCTACTCGTCTTGGCTGAGTGATACCAATCATTCCAGGATTGGGACTATCAGGGCTTCCATAACCGGCCTCAAAAAGAAACTGGGGTAGTTGAGTAGTTTTTCCACTTCCTGTTGCCCCCCATATGACTACACAAGGGTTGTTGTGGATGGCTTCCATTATCTTTTGCTCCTCCCCAACAACAGGAAGATTCAAGCGAGCGGCTTGGATATGTTCGGGCCTGTCTATCTGGATAGCAAATGACTTCCTATCCGTATCTCCATTTGTCACTCTCAGTTCTTGAGGTAGTGGTTCCTCTTCTTCTGTCCTATCTCTCGGTTTAAAACTTTTGGCATTTTGAGGAAGAAGCGTGGGAGTAGCAATGTTCTCTGGAGTAAACCCTGCTGCCTCGTTGATTTGTTGTACCGCCCACGATTTAAATGCAGATTGGCGAGGTTTAATTTTCTTTTTGGTTTCAACTTCGCTTTCAGAGGACAAATTTTCCTCACTTTCTAAGTCTGAAACAGAGTCTTCCTCGGACTCACCACTACCACGGTGTGAGTCCGCTTCTGAATCTCCTGGTTCTTTATCTGCGCTAGACTCAGGTTCTGAATCAAAGCCCTCCCACGCCGGTTCTTGGATTTCGATTGGTTTTGTTTTTTGCATCCTCTTCCGCCGCTTTATGACAGGACGCCCATCCTCGCCAATCTCTAGTGGTCGCTTAAGGCCACTTCCAACTGCAGTATTGGCAGGTATGTCTCCGTCTCCCCGAGCATTGATATGAGACCGTGACGAAGGAAGATCATCATCGGAACCAGAACTTTCAGATTCAAGTATCTCTGAGCTCGAGCCCTTTTTACTGCCAGATGGTAATTGCGGCTTCTTGGATAGCGGTTTATTTGATCGTGCTAATGAACGCGAGCTCTGAAGCTGACTCGTGTCGATTTTCGATTTAGCGAGCTTTTTGATAAGTGTCAGGTTCTCGTCCTTTCGTAGTTTGGTATCCTACCAGAATGGTTAGCAGCCACAACGAGAAATTACCAAAGAATCATAGTCATACAATATATTTATCCAATCGCTTTTGTTTTTTGCTCGATATTTTCGACTGCTGAGGTCTCAATTCCTCTTGCAACTTTTGTCTCTTCTCTTCCTTCTCCTTCTTGGACACTGGAGCTACCTCGGCGACATTGGTATTTTGTGGCAGCTTAGGCTGGTTTTGCCTATCTCGAGCTTTGTGCTTTCGCTGGCGGGGGACCAACTTGGGCATCTTCACCAACAAATATCACCACCAAATGCTGTCGAGTTCTTCCTCGTCCACCAAGATTCGAAGCTCAAAATTACAAAAATTAAACATTCTGCCATCTGAAGGCGGTGAAGATAAGAGAGATAAAGTTGGACCAGCTTATATAATACAGCCTCAAGGCAAAATAAGCAAACATGCCACTTCTGTGTATCAACAACAACTCTTGATCTTCCATCGACCGTCGTTTTAGCCGCAGCTTGAGAGTAGTTGGAGCAGTTGGGTTGGTGCAGGATGTCGCCAGAAGCCCAAACCGAGGCTGCAGATGTGCAGCCGATGATTCCCAGCCTAGAGAACACCCCTCATCCCGCTTCCACGAAACAAGCTGCGGGCGTTGTGGGTGGGCAGCCTACAAATGTCATGGTGGTCTCGTTCCAAGACCGGATACTCGTGACCATCACACAGAACGGACGATTAGCACAATGGGTACGCAATACTCTCATGAATGATAAGGCTATTTTCTTGCTTGTTCTAACGGTCGTCGCGCAGCTTCATGTGCCAATAGAAAGCCCAGATCCAGCAGCTGACTTCCAAACGCTGACCAGCAACCAGGAAGATGCCCTTCTCCCCCGCCCGGAATTTAATGCTACTCCTTTACTTGGTGGACGATCCGGTGATTGGGAGGTTGTTGGCCAGCTTTATGCTTGCCAAATCGCGACAGCAATAGCTGCAAAATCCCCTGAAGAGAAGAGGTTATTGGTTGTGGGACTTGGTCTAGAAACTCCTGACATTGATCGGGATATATATCTAGGTATCGTTGATCTTGTTCTGCAGTGCCTATGAATTGTAAGGAGTTATGACTCGTGGGTCAGAACATTGGCGCACTGCCACCACGTCAGCCCTCCATAAACCGTACGTTAAATGCATCAATGATGTAGGATACAAGACATTTGGAGAACCTGGCCCACATAATCGATATCAGGAGACTAGCCATTCACGAGGGGCTAATGGGGACTTAGCACCAAATGGGCCATGCGGCCGTGGTACCCAATTATCACTGTTTTAATTGGAACAATTTGTTATTTCGACTACTATATTGATGTTTCAGTAAGTAACTATTATTTGGTCATGAGAATTGTAAGTGTGTCAAAAATTCCACCTGTAACGAAACATAATTAAGATACGCAATTACTTCATTCTATATATCTAATTGTCAGCCATGTTTAGCAACCAGCTCAAACTCTTTTAAGTCCGAATAAATTCCGAAATAGTTAGTTACGTCACGTGCAAACCCCTGTTCATCAAGTTCGCATACATACAAATGCGCTCCTTTTACCTTCAGTTCTTCAGGGCAGGAACCCTGTTCTTCTGCACCTTACGAGTCCAACCATTATTGCAAGCACTGGATACTTGTGCTTGCAGTTGATGGGTGGATACTGCTTATGCCGAACCCTGTAGTTAGTTAAGCAACGACCTGCAGGTCATGGCGTGTCAATTGGAAATACGGGGATCTTCTGAAAAGGCCGATAGCTCCCTCCCAACGATTTCAGACGTGGCTTATTTTTATGACTTCTGTTCCCGGGGCTGTTCGTCGTGGACTATCGGTTCATGCACTGCGCCGAGGCTAACATAAGATAGCACCCTGCTGCATGTTATCATTCCCCGGTCTTTAGTGTCAAGCTTGACTTCCTGCAAACCCAAATAACACGCGATTAGTCTGTGGGGCTAGCCAACCAGTTCGATAACTAGTTGGCATCGTTACCGAGCTCAGAGAGATCAGGTGTCTACCTCGGCAGAGACATGGCCTTCAACAAACCCACATTGCTAGGGACGGAAAAGGGCGGAGATTTCGCTTCTCCGCTTCTATATATACCCATATTCAAGCATGGCCATGTTCATCCGTCCCCGGCAAATGAGATATCGAAGTTGAATCTATGACAACTTTGATTCAGGGGCGGGTATGGCAGGAGAGAACTTGGTTCCTGTTGTTGTCGGGGTAGGGGACATAAAAAATGAATCAAGGAGGCTCGAAGATGCAGTTGAGCCAGCATATCTGATGATCAATGCCATTTACAAGGCAATTTCTGACACTGGACTTTCCCCCGATAGCTGTATGAAGCTTCAATCATGTATTGACAGCGTGGATGTTGTTGCTACTTGGACGTGGCCTTATTCGGATCTCCCTACTCTTCTATCAGATAAGCTGAACATACAACCCCGTCACAAGTTATATAGTCATCATGCAGGAAATGCACCTGCTAAATTGTTTGATGACGCTGCTCGACGATTGTCCCAGGGCAAGAGTCAGATAGCTGTAGTGACTGGAGGAGAAGCTCTGGCATCGTGTATGTTCTATTTGTATATTTTACGAGAATTTTTTGTCGAGATACTAAGACAACTGGGTGGTAGTGAATGCCTTCGCACGGGCTGGGAAGCCTCCCCCATCAAATTGGACAGAACCGGCTCAAAACGTGTCCGAAGTGTTCCAGCCAAAGGGATCAGGGAAAGAAGAAAGTAAGTTCTAATATCTATTTACTGCTGGGGTACGGTGCCCTTACTAATACTAATGCAGACGTTGGCACGATACACTCTGTCGGTTTACCTTTACATGTCTATCCGCTATATGAAAACGGACTCAGAGCATACCGCAAACAGTCATTACGAGAAAACATGAAAGAATCAGCGAAATTATACGCCGAATTTTCAAAAGTTGCAGAGAAAAATCCCCTATCGTGGAATTTTGGAAAATTGGCAGAGACTGAGCAATCGCTCAGCACCATCACAAGGAAGAACAGGATGATTTGCTACCCATGTATGTTACAAATTGCATGTATTATATGAAACGATGTGAACTAATAATTTATTATAGATCCACTGCTGATGAATGCCTTTAACACGGTAAACTTGGCAGCAGCTTGCATTTTGACCACAACGCAGACAGCTCGGCAGCTTGGAATTTCGGAAGACAAGTGGGTCTACCCCTTGGGGGGCGCCGGTACTCAAGATAGCAACAACTGTAAGTGGCTGAATTGTGTTTATTTCATTGAGCATTCAGTACCATACTGACCTTAGCTTCTGTATAGTTTGGGAACGGCCGAACTTCTACAGTAGTCCGTCGATATCGAGGTCATTGGACGCAGCTTTGTCCTCCTCCGGACTGAGTAAAGAAGAAGTCCACCTGTTTGACTTCTATTCGTAGGTGATAATACCTATAAGCCACATCACTCAGATGCTAATAACATGAGTGTACGCTCGAACAGATGCTTCCCAATTGTTCCAAAGCTTGCAGCTTTTCACTTGGGCTTTCCTAGCGATGGCTCGAAACCATTAACTCTTCTTGGTGGACTCACTTCCTTTGGAGGAGCAGGGAACAATTATTCTATGCATGTAAGCGATATTCTAGCTCAAAGTATAATAACGGCGGCTTACATAGGCGTATAGGCGATCACTGAGATGGTGCGGCAACTCAGAAAGTATACAGGAACTCCTAGACATGGTCTGATACTCGCAAATGGCGGTGTATTGAGTTATCAACATGCTATTTGCCTCTCGTCCTGCTCTAGGAGAGATGGGTTATCATATCCAGTTAAAAATCCTCTTCCTGAGCATGTGACAGACGTCGTGATTCCGGGTATTGATGTTCAAGCAGAAGGCGAGGCTGTCATCGAGGTAGAATCTTCCAGTGTAAAAGGATTCTGGTCATGCACTAACTCAGTTCTAGACATATACTGTTGAGTTTAATCGAGATGGAAACCCTATGTTCGCATACATTGTTGGGCTTTTGAAAACCACCGGCCGGAGGTTTGTTGCGAACCATGCTGATGATGCTACCTTGGAAGAACTATCGGATCCTGGAAAAGAGCCTATTGGAAGATCTGGGTACGTGACTACTGATACTACTGAGTACGGAAAAAATTTATTTTCCTTAAAATTACTTACGAAGCTCTGATTGTGCATTTCGCTATTGAAGTGCTTTGATGACATGGCAATATTAGTATTTACACTCTTTGTATATTAGTCGGCTACTTCTCAGTATAGATTTACTAGCAATTATTCAGTTGTTGATTACAGTGAAATAACAATTGATGACATTCTTTATCAGTAATATGTGAAGAATTGAATGACTACTTGACACTCATGCCTTGTTTACTTAATGAGAAGCCATGCAAGCCCTTTTAGTGCTAAATGAATAACTCTCGCCTCGACACTCCAGAAACATTGGTTCAGAGGTAATTCTGGCTGCTATTCCCAGATAGGGTAAAGAAAACGTCCTTGAGGATGTTTTGTAAACCAACCGATGATATTACTACCTGATTGCATGACTTAAAGTTGACAAATTATTCACCACATAATGAAACGAACCACGGCTCTAGGAACTGCTGCTTTTACGCAACGTTGTAACAACCTCCTGGAACCTCCCCTCACCAGCATCACGGTCATAAAGCCGTGGATCAACCGAGTCCCCGCTAAGGTTACATTTGAAACAGCGACCATTCACGTAGTCTAAATTGCCCTTCTGTTCATCAAAGAAGCGACGAGCTTCTTCAGCACTAAGTCGGCCAATATCATACATGCTTGGCCATGCCTTCGCGTAAAGAGCTAACATCAACTCGACCTTATCTAGGCCTGTAATATCGACTGCTTTAAAGGCTTGGGTTAAATGTTAGCTCTGCTAATATTATCAGATAGTAAGGATGAGCATGGCGTACTGGACATCCTGGCACCCAATAGATAGCTGCAGCTCTAATTTTTGGTAGGAAGGTAGAAAATTGTCAAAGAACTTTCAAGTAGGGTCGATGTAAGAAAAAAAAAAAATAATGAAATGCACTTATGGTCGTTCTCTTGGGCGTCCTTATACGACTTCGATCTCTGTAAATTGGTGTAGGACAGTTGAGTCTCGAATTAATTGTTGATAAATATGCAACTGTAGAGGAATAGGATGCCCTTATATATAAGGATCCCTATTCTTTGGTCACAGAAATTTATAGCGCTCCAAAACTGTCGGGAGTTTTGTGAAAAGGAGAGAGGCACTTAACAATATGTTGAAGTTCAAACAATCATCTATTCGTAACAATAGGGCAAACAATGGTTGCCTTTTTCCATGGGGCTTGGATTGACTTCAACTGTTTGCAGTGGTACAAATATTGCGGATTCAATTTTTTCTTTTGCTGTGGTTGTTCATTCTCAAGTAATGTTACTTTGAGGCTCCAGGTAGTTATTTTCTAGTGGCTCTTGTTGCCCGTTGAACTTAAATGTAGAGTACTCCTATTTTAGTTAGCCACAAACATTTATTGCAGGAAACTAACATTATATTAATAATTATTCCTTATTTATCAAAGCCATCTAACTGGAATTTCTGTATAAACGAAGTTCTCATTCACTAGTAGTGATGTTTGGCATGACGTTTGATATGTTTGAGGCTCAGCACGGTGGTAGTCGTTTTTAAGTTAAGTTTATGACATAAGCAATGCCAAGTAGCTAGTGCTTAATTATCCGGTCACGTGGTGCTACTCCTGCACGTCAGCGGAAATTAATGTAGGAAGAGCGCGACTTCGGGAGCAAGTCCTTGGGTTATGGATTAAGCGCGGTGTAGATTTTCTATTACCGCGGAGCCCAGTGTTATACACAGGCTATTGGCTGTAAGCCATGGCTTATAGACAGAATGGCCAGTATCCGCCGTCCCAATCACCACGGCAGCCCTATCCTCCAGCAACGCCTCCGCAACAATCCTACCATCAGTCTCCCCAGGTCTACCCGCAGGTTGTAATTCCAGCATATCCTCCTCACTTAGCACAAAGCCCTCTGCTACAGCCCCCGATACGACCGCATGATTTCACCACCTCGGCTGTCTCTCAGCAAGTCCCTCCTCATTATCCTGCTCCGCCGCATGCGAACTTCCAGTATGGAGGGGTTTCCGCTACTCCAGGCTCGCCGTATGCGATGCCAAACCGACATCCTGACTCTTACGCCTCTCCACACTCACTGTACCCGGTGACCCTACCACCCCATTCTCAGACACAAGTTCCTCCGCGCCCTTCTCAGCCGGTACCTCAGCGACCAGTTTCACAGCCAGTTTCCCAACCAGTTTCTCCTCAGGTACAGAGTCTACCACACACCCAAGGATACTCACAATTTCCTACACAACCAAGTCCGACGGTACAGAACAGCCACAATATACCGAAAACGGCTAAGGCACCAACTCCCCGACCTCAAGCTCGGCCGTCACCACAGATGACGGGAACAAAATTGTCACAGCAGCAGAAACAGGGGGGACATGATAATTCAAAGCCACATGTGGACTATCAGGTTTTGCTTCTGGCCCTCGCCGATGAATACCTTGATGCAGCACATAGCCAGGCTACTTTAATTGCAGTTTCCCAAGATGAGCACGAGACAGAACAGTATTACAAATTGATTGCCACCGGGCTGCGATGTATGGAGGCACTGCTGAAGGTTTGTTTCGCACTGTACTGTTGACTGCAGTTATTGGGATTGCCTAGGGTGGAAGTAACTGTACATGCTGACATATATAGAACTGGAGACTTGCTCCCCAAACAGAAGCACTTGTGACCTTGCGCTTCGCTAAAATACTTTATGAAGAGACGAATAACGACACTGTAGCTGAGACTATATTAAGCAAAGGGGTACGCTTCACTATAATCCTATCCATACTTAGGCCCCATGCGCTCTGGTTCTCTCTGCTTGTGAGATGCTAATACTGTATAGATTGACCTATGTGAACGGGTGTGTAGTTCGTGTTTATGGTGATACAATAGCCATGGGTTTAGCTTACAGGGGTATTGTATAGAATAGGATGTTTGATCTCAAATACGGTATGCAGCAACTACTATGCCGAATAGTATCCAAATCCAACCCGCGAGCTGCAATGAAGACAGTTGATGGAGTGATTCGCGACATAGAAACGTAAGTGTACTTTTGAGGCGTCTTAAAAATTCCTCTAACTTGAGTAGGTATCGGCATACTGGCTGGGAATATGCGTTTCGGTTACTGAGGGCTTCAATATCACTCTCGCCGCCGCCACATCAGGATCTGGTAGGTGCATTGCATAACCTGCAAAAAATATCATCGTTAGCGGCATCATGCGGTGATAAAGCGGTGTCGACTATAGCCGCCGTTCTTGAGGCTTTGATCCACCTTCAGCAGTCCACAAACGCAGACTCCATCGAGCATGCACAGCGAGCAATTGCTACGGCTCGAAGTCGTCAGCTTGATCCTGAAATTCGTGGTATACCCCAACTTAACTCCGTCATTCAAATGATAGATATATGCTGCAGTGTCCTTGAATACGATACAAACCAGTCTAGCCAGAAACTCAAAGAAATGCAGCGATCCATGGACCAAGATATTCATAACCCAAAGTGGAAAGATGATGGGTCGTTCGCTCTGCCTTTGAGCGCCGGAACTATGAAATCAGCGTCACCTCGAGAGCCTCGACATGACGGTCACATATTTGAATTAACAATGAGCTGGCTTCCCGAACATGATCTGTATGCACTGTGCTATTTTCTAAGCTCTGTCACCTTGAGTGCAAAGAATTCGCAAGATGGCCATAAGGCAGAGAAATATCTTGAGGAGGGCTTGGGAATGATGAAAGGTAAGTGTTTTACTCTTAGCCCTATTAATCAAATCTCACTGACATGTCTTCTAGCTGGTCTCTCATCACCCCAGGGGATCTCTGAGTCTCTTGTAGCTTCCTCTTCTCGAATTCACTGGAGGAGAAGTTTATACTGCAACATGCTCCTCCAACAGGTTTTTCTCTTTTGTTCTCGGACCGAATGGCGAATGGCAAATAAGACACTTAAAGAGGTCAGGAGTACGCTGGCCGAGCTCGGTGACTCAGTAGGCGATGATATTAGGTGTCTGGCCGAATATGCGCGCGGCATAATCCACCAAGCGGTCGGCGACATCGAAGCTGCGATGGCTACCTTCCACCAGCCCATGTTTTCTCTGTCCCAGGCCACCAGCAAGATCCCACGAAGCAATCCTCACCGTGATACCATAATCCTAGCCAATTTGAATCTTGTACTTCTTTTGAGAGACCCTTCAAAAGCAGATCACTCTCTTGCTTCGGAAACACTGAGCATTCTCGGCCCACATTGTCAGAATAGCCCTAACAAATACATCCGGGCAGCTCATTCTCTTATAAGTGCCACTGTGCACACTGAATCTACAATTCAGACAAAACGTGATCTTCACCAGGCGCTACAAGCGGCCACGGCAATCCAAAATTGCCAAATAACCTGCATCGCCCTGACGTTTATGAGTTGGAAATATTTCCGTGGCGTGATTGGTGAACAATCTGAGAAGAGTGCCATGGCAGCTAGAGCCATGGCAAGAAAGGCAGATGATAAGTTATGGATGAGTGTTACGGATGATTTACTAGCTGAAACATTGGACAGACAAGGAAAATCAGCCGATGCCCAGACACTGAGGGCCAAGGCAGATAAAAAGTTGGAAGCATTGCCGCCGGCGTTAAAAATGAACAAGCCTGATGGGACTGGAAACGGAAATCTAAGCACCAACGGTGGTGCCTCAAAGAAATATGTCTAGATATAATGCATGTGATATATTACAGCGAATATGGCGTTAGAAACATATCGACCTTATGGGGAGAACGGCGTATTTAAGGAGCAAAGGTAATAATGCACTTCAGAGCGCAATCTCACACCGCATAGGTCGGTTTATTACGTTCTCTATGATGGGATGACCGGCACACGCAATGGCGATTGTTATCCGTATGATACGGAGGATGACTGGTTGAAGATAATCAACTTGCTTTCCTTCTAACAGAGCATATATACAGTTTGCTGAGTTTACCTTGGTCAAGGACATCAATTCAAATGCAAATAAACAAGGCTGACAATAACCACCCATTAACCCAACTCCTTTGAGGGTATACAGAGGTCTTCTGCATTGTCCCTTGCTCGCCAATGTAGCTAAGCTCCAAACTCCAGAAAACAGAAAGCAGAGTAATAAATATGCATATACTCGGAAGAGGATGGCTTGAAGCCAGAATGGAAACAAAACAGCGATGCATGCAAAGGGGGAATCATTGTACAACAAGGAAAAAAGACAAAAAGGAAAAGGTGGACGGATCAGCCCAGTCCGCCCCATGCGCCTCTTATCCTTCGTGCTAGTTGTATGTCCTTTTGCATGATGGTGACTCGTTTAGCGTGGATGGCGCAGAGGTTTGTATCTTCGAATAGGTGGATTAGAAAGGCTTCCGCGGCTTCTTGCAGCGCTTGTATTGCTTGTGACTGCCACCGTAGTTCCTGACCAACTTCCGACGGTAGCAGATCCATGGCAATCTCACGGACTAGACGAGCGAAGGGTAGTTTAAGAAGAAGAAGATCCCATGATTTCTGGTATCGTCGGATTTCCTTTAGCGCAACGGTTCCAGGGTGATAACGATGTTTCCGCTTGGCAGGTAGGGGGTCACCAGCTGAACAATTCTCAAAGTTAGATAGGAAGATTATTATCGTCAAGTACGTATTGGAGAAAACAACATACGCTGTATATCTGATGTTCGCGATTCTCTGGCTTTCGACTTCGTTACTCCCCCTCTACTTCCGCGCGACGAAGAGCCGCCCCTCGAGCTACTATCCCCACCACCTGTTCTCCTTGCCACAGAGGATGACCCGGGCACTGTCTTAGCACCCTTTTCCGCTCTTGGTGGCATGTCTTATCCCCTCAAATATGATGCGCGCGCAGTGTGGTAGCTTCTAAGGATTGCGGGGTATAGACTCGAAAACGATCGTAGCTGCTGCAAATCTCCCTGGAAGCGATTGGAGGAGTATTCCGGAAGGTATTCAGTTCAATTGAATATATCTCGCCAAAAAGTGCAAGGATGTTGGCTTCAATGACTTGGTATTTGACTTGAGCGCCGAAGAACGGTAGGTATAAAACGGCGCAAAAACGGAATTTGTTCGAAAACAGGAGTCGCAGAGACAAGGATGCCGCATCCAGGCCTGGATAAAGAATCAAACAGAGTCACAACGCAGCAGCTTCGAGAGACAAGTCTGCCGGCTGGTCGAGCAGCTAACGGGCGAAGAGAAAAGAAGTCTTGGAAAGTGCCGAAAGGACGAAAGAAGGACCTCCGGGACGTTTTTTTCTGTCTCCCCAGCCATCTCAAAGTGGAAAACGCGACGTCGAGGCCGGGGAGCTCTCTGATTGGTTGAAGCTCGCGCCCAGCCACTTTACGCGTCGGTCACGCGACAGGGGAACTAGTCCGTATTTGGATTAGCGTACTCAGACGGAGAATAGTTATTCCTTTAACTTTACACGTGACTATTACGTCAGTTATTACATAATATAATGACAGATAAGCTTTCTGAAGTTTCCTAACTTATCAAAACGAACGTCGAGAAACAAAAAGAAACAACAAGCTGGCTTCAATTTCAGGCCAACGAGGGACTCGCAGTCACTTTGCTCTCGATTACCCTGGTTTCATGGAAGTCGGCTACGCATGATATGCTAGGCACACGTCTCCAGTGACCTGGATTTGTTCTTCGGAGAAGACGCTCACTACATCCACCCGTGCCCGCGCTGAACCTCATCTACAGCAAGCATGGCGGCGATCTGGGGCAACGCCGGTCAGGGCGGACAGTTACCGCTGGAACAGTGGTTCTATGAGATGCCACCGTGTACAAGGTGGTGGACAGCTGCAACAGTGCTGACATCGGTTCTGGTGCAATGTCACGTTCTTACTCCTTACCAGCTATTCTACAGCTTCCGGTCGGTATTTATCAAGTCACAGGTGAGTCCGGTTATTGAATGCAGCCCGCTTGGCTATCGGATATAAATACTGACTCTGGTGTGTAAAAAACTAGTACTGGCGACTCATTACAACATTCCTCTATTTTGGACCGTTAAATCTAGACCTGTTGTTCCACGTCTTCTTCCTCCAGCGGTATTCGCGACTACTGGAAGAATCTGCCGGCCGTTCTCCCGCCTTTTTCTCCTGGTTGCTGCTTTACGCAACGTCCATACTCCTCCTTGCCTCGCCATTTCTATCTCTACCATTTCTAGGCTCTTCCCTCTCTGCTAGCCTGGTGTACATCTGGGGCCGGAAGAACCCAGATACAAGGCTAAGCTTCCTCGGACTACTCGTATTCACGGCACCATACCTACCCTTTGTACTCATGGCATTCAGCCTGATTGTACATGGAACAATTCCTAAGGACGAAATATGTGGTGCTGTGGTGGGACATATCTGGTATTATTTCACGGATGTGTACCCTCAAATGTATGGAGGGGTGCGGCCGCTGGATCCTCCTGCCTGGTGGAGAAGATTATTCGAGTCAACCAATACTCAGGATCAACGAGCCACGAACGCAGCCCACATAAATAATGACATGGCTGCCATTGCCGCTCGGGACGTGAGATAAGCCATACAATGGTTCTTTGCGCCGTACGGCTTCCGGATTGTAGTCCCTTCTACGTTTATGAAAAGGATGGCAACTATGGGCAAGCGGAACTACCCTCTCAATGGACGATGCCCGTTTGCAGCAAAATTGGTGATTAAGGAATAGACGGTGGCATTCTTTTATTCTTTTATTTGTTGACCTTTATAAAGCATTCGGCACTACTCTGGGATACCCACTTATTGTACACAATGGCGTTTGGTTGGTCGGAGTTTGCATATTTTATTGTATTTCCTAGCCTAGAACTTGAATTTGAGCTGCATTGCTCCCTTTAATCACTACACTGCTTGCTAAATATGTTGAAGCGGATGCATTGAATATGTTGTTACTACTACTATACATAACCGGAGTAATAACTGGAAGCAGTTCCATGAAATATATATAATGCCAATCAAAGATAGCTCGATTAGCGGGATTAATGCATCTAAGGTATAAAGAAACAGAACAACAAACTGGGAGCTAGAGAAAGAAGGTCACAAAGGGGAATTGATTGTTGCATAGTGCTTAGACGCTGGAACGCATTGGACATTAAGTATGTAAAGAAGAAGAATGTGGTGCCGGGAAAGAGTGAAAGAATCCCTTGACAAGGGGGTATAAAACGAAAAATATAAAAGAACACCCCTGTAAACATCTACAGTGAAAGGAGAAAAAGCAAATGGCTATTGTGATCAATCGGCTTTGACAGCACTGTATTGGTGTATTAGCGAATTAGACGTTGTGATAGTAATGGAGAGGAGCAAGCATACCTGTATATCCGCCGTACGAATATGTACGCTGCCAGGAACCCTACGGTGCCCGTTAACAGGCCGTATACGGCACAGCCTAGAAAACTGTAGCTAAAGAATAGGAGGCTCGAGATGAAGCCGTGGATATGCAGTTTTGTGAAGAAGTACCATATGCAGTACATGAAGATCCAGACTGCGCTGCTTCCGCCAACCATGAAGCTGTGCCACCACCAGCGATGGTTCTAGGGGTGGAAAGTTAGTTAAGCACGAAGGAACTCTGCTGATAAGGGGGTAGAAAACCATACCTCTGCGCATAATAGGGTGTAGGTAGTTATAATGGCCATCTCGGCGATGGAAAGAAGAGTCAGAAGCCCGACTATGCTTAGGTAGCCGAAGACATAGTAATATCCACCCTTGTCCTGTAGCATGTTGCGGAACAGGAAGACCAGTTCCACAAACAAGACGGCGAAAGGAGCAAAACCAGCAAGAATGATTCCTCTCAGCGATCCCGAGTACCATGGTTGTGGAGGTATCGGTCGTGGAATAGAACTAGTGCGCGTTGGATGGCTCCATGGCTTCGACCTTTCGTAGCCATACCAGCTGCCTGCGTAAACGAGGGGGACTTGGATGAGAAGCCAAAGGGCAAGGAGACCGACCAATGTCCCAAATGGAAGAGCCGTACTTGATGCCTGAGCCCACACGAACAGGTTCAGAACGAAGATTAGGGAGAAGACTAGTCCGGGGAACAATAGAGCAGTCTATTACCTGGTTAGAGGCCACTTCTTCGTAAGAAAAAAAAGAGGTTAAGGGAGAGACATACTATGAATGCGTTCTTCCGCCAGTTCATACCCGCTAAAGTCCTGTAGAGCCGAGCAGAGAAGTATCCTGAGAATATACCTGCAAAGATGAACAGGCCAACGCCCACGCTGATGAAGCCGCCTCTAAAACTGGGGTTCAGCACTCCCAGGCAACTTAGAGATAACAGCCCCGTAGCCATGAAGAGAAGCTGTATGCCCGATCCAACAAACGGTGCAAGAAGACCGCTATATGCTGGCGTTCGAAGGACGTCGCCGTGAAGTCTCTTCCACGACGAAGCATCATCAAAGTCCTCTTCAGACGAGAGGTCGTCGTCCGAAACGACACCGGCACCACCATCGAGTAGACCGTTAGACGACTTCTCGTCCACAACCGGAGCCGAGCCGCTGGTTTTTCGAGATCGACGCTTGCTGGCCTTGCCATCCTCGAGCAAGCCGTCTGTTCGACTTTTGGAGTCTCCATAGCCAGTACGACGGTATATGACCAGCACTGTGACACTTAAAACACCACATATCACCAGGGAATTTAACAATGACAGCCAATGCGTGGTGGTACCGTCCTGCTGGCTGTATAGGTATAGATCCCATCTGTTCGCCCATTCTACCTTGTCCTCTCGCTTGAAGAAGACAGAGTACGTGTAAGGGATGGACAGGGTGGCACCGTCGTCCACCTCGTCGTCATTCTCCGGCAGGTAAGATGAGCCCGGGTACTGCTGTGCAAGACGGGTGTTGTTGGGCTGCAGATATAGCTCGAAGCCATGATGCACGGTATGCACATCTCTGGGACACCCGTCCCGCTTCCTGCCGTCGCGGCTGACGCTCTTGGGGTATATCTCGAAGCCGACGATGACTTTCTGGCCGTCACCACCACGCGGCGCATCTCGCCACCGAATCACGAAGGAGAAATGGTTGTGGATATAATGCGTCGGCCGCCGGCTGGTCGATGAAACAGCCTGGTACCCTAGCTTGAAGCCGGTGGTGTAGTACTTTTGAGTTTTGTCGACGGTGATGAAGCTGGTCGCGCCGGGCAAATTATCCACGATCCACTCGGCCACGAAGCCGTCTGATATCAAGCTCTTCGCCCAGTTTACGTCTCTGCGTCCAATCTGGCGGGTACAGAGCGGTTTGCAGGCGACGTTCTGTCCCATCTCGAGCTCGAAGTCGGACAGGCTGATGCGGTCTCCGCGCAGCACCTCGCCCAGGTTGAGGGGGATGTTCTGGCTGCTGCCGGCCCTTGCGGTGGCCGGACAGGCGAAGGGCAGGTCCGAGTAGGCATATTGAAGCTGCGAGTTGTCCGAGAAGATCTTGTTGACGAGGACGGGGATGCGCTGGCCGTCTTGATATGTTTGTATCGAGTATCCTGGCGCGCGAGTCAGCACAGCCCGCGCCCACCACGCTGAACAGCGCCTGCATAAAGCATAGCAAAGTAGACGGCTATACCGTGTACTTTTTTTTAAGGCCGTATAGAGCGTTAGAAGGATACTTACCGGGCACGTAAAAGGCCGTGGCTTGCGGCAGTAGAAGCAGAAGCAGAAACGAGAGTAGATACGCGAGCTGCGCCGTCGAGTCCATCTCGGCCTAAGGTTAGCTCACGACGAGCCTACATCCACGCAGCCGATACGGAGAAGAGGAAGAGGAGAGGTTAGATGGCAGTGAGGCCCGCCCCGCCTCTTGTCTGTACGTATTGATCGTGATTTAAACGAGGGACGAGGGTGAGACAGAGACGGGGACTTTTGATGGTAGCGATCGAAGGATGTAGAACCGCCGCAAGGCTCGGAAGACAAGAAAGACAAGCAAGACAAGAAAGACAAGCAAGACAAGAAGACCTTTGGCTGGTCAAGTGCGACGGTATGACTTAATACAAGTAAATAAACGAACGAACAGTCATGCCGGGCTCTTCTTATTAACTATTGCCTTCGTTTCTTTTCCTGATGATGAGCCCTGGATGAAACATGGACGTTGCTGGCGAATTAACTAGAATAACTATTTACACGGCGAAGAAGAAAAGAAAAACACAGCGAGTTCAAGAGCAAGAAGACGGGACGAGATGGAACTGCTTGGTTTATATGTGATTTGAGAGGTAGAAAAGGGCCATTGCAAGCCGGTGGCCGCGGCATGGATCTAGATATTTAAGAAGAACGGGGCCTGGGGGGGGGACCCCGGGGCGATGGAGGATACGATCGAGACTCTTACATCGGCCCAGCTAAGACCGGGATGGCTGCAGATACGGCAGAGAAGTTAAGGGAGCGGAAAGGGAGACAGAGACGATGCAGGAATGTCATATTTATTAAAGCAGGAAAAAAAAGTACATCAGGGTTATCGTAAGAAGGACGTGGTGGTTAAATATCGACCGACACGCATGCAGTGATGGGAGGATGCAGGGAAAACGTCAAGAAAAAGGGGGGAGAGAGGACAGGAGAATTTCGATCACGGGGAGTTGAGCAGATACTCGATGGCTCCCTGAACGCTGCCGCCGGACCGTCTCAGGGCCTCGATGTTCCTGTCAAACTCGAAGAAGCCCATGTCGTTGAGCTGCCGAAGCTGCTCGGCGTACCGCTCCTCTGGGGGACGGTTGTCAGGCGGCTGAGGAGGCTGCCCGCCGAAGAGAGAATGTAGTAGGGGATTGCTGGCGTTGGGGTTGGGGTTGGGGTTGGAGTTTGCATCTGCTCCAGGACCGCCGCCCATGGCTTGCATGAGCTGAGAGAAGAGAGCCGGGTTCTGCATGAAGGGGTTGGGAATCGGCTGGCCGGGCTGACCGTCTGCGTTTGGCAGTTGGCCGAGCAGTGCTGGGTTGAACAGAGAGGCGAAGGGGTTTGGCTGGTGCTGCTGCTGCTGGCGCTGTTGCTGGTTGTTGCTGTTGTTGTTGCTACTGCCGCTGTTGTTGGTGGTGTTGGATCCTGCTGTACCTGCGTCTCCTGAGGCTGCACCAGCGGGAGGCTGTTGCATGCCGGCCAGGAACGAGAAGGGGTTTCCACCAGCACCAGGCATGGCGAGGAAAGGGTTAAAGGGAGGCATCTGAGGTTGAGTCTGGTTGTTGTTGTTGTGGTTGCTGCTGGTGGTGGTGTTATCTTGACTGCCTGCATCCCGCTGTGTGGTGTTGGTGACTCCGGGGGCAGGGAAAGCAGACTGTCCACCGCCGCCGCCCTGGCCCATGGCTCTCTGCATCTGGGTCATGTACCGCAGCATATTGGGGTCTGTGAGCATGCGCCGGAACTCTGGCGACTGTAGTATCTGGCGGGCGTTGGGCACATCCCGTAGCATGGGGTTCTGTTGTATCATCATGTCGATGATCTGGGGGTTCTGGAGGGCTTCGTTCATGGTCGACTGGAACTGAGGGTTCTCCATCATGCTCAGGATCTGGTCGGTATCGGGCAGAGGTCCCATCTATACGAATGTGTTAGCTATCACAAGCTTCTATCTTCCATCGTCTATGTGATAGGGGGTTACTCACCCCTCCGTCAGGGCCAAACATGCCCGCGCCAGGCAGCTGAGAGAAGCCCGCGTATCTGGCCCCCGTCAGGCCAGCCAGCATCGAGTTCCCCGTCCCAGCTGCGAGGTTGGTCGGCACTCCAGCGGCCCCAGACGGCGTGCTCTGGGCGCCTCTGCCCGCCGCACTGCTGGCTGTGGTGTTGCTGCTGCTGCCGGCGGCGGTGGTGTTGGCGCTGCCACTGCCGCTGCTGCTGCTGCCGGCGGGCGCAGAGCTCTTGACCAGGTGGATGGTATGGCCCTCCTTGACCTTGTGCGAGGCGAGGGTATCGGAGTCCTTGAGAACGCGCCCCGAGTAGATCAGCCGCTGGCGCTCTGGCGGGACGTTTGCGTACTCCTCGCCGGCGAGGATCTGCTTGATCTCAGCGACGGTCGACGACGGCTTCAGCGTCAGGCTGAACTTGGGCTCTGCGGACGACTTGACGTGGAACGTGAACGGCGCGTCTTCCTCTGCCATTTTCTGTATCTTTCTCTTCTCTTCTCTTCTTTTCCTTTCAGTATCTTCTTCGCTGTCTTCTGTAGCTCTCGCGGTGTCTCGCGGGGTGTCTCTGCTGGCTTCGCTGGCTTCGCTCTCTGCAGCTTCAGCTCCCGTCTCAGGCGTCTTATAGCTTTTTCTCTTCTTCCTTGTCTCGCCAGTCCTTGTCTTTATCCTCTTCCTTTATCCTGGCGTCTTTCTCTGTCTGGTCTGTCTTGTCTGTCTGTCTCGCTGTCTAGGTCGTCGCTCTTTATCCTCGACGGTCCGACTCCGCCACCGAAGAAAAAACAGCCAACCTAGGAAGAAACTTCCACAACCGCAGAAAAAAAACTCCAACCTCCAGCGACAACCAGCAGACAACGCCAGCTACATCTACAAGCTCCAGCTACATCACGATAGCTACGGCCACAGCTAATCACGGTTGTTATACCACCGGCTGCAGCTCGGCTACGGCTACGGCTATAGCTTCGACCGGCTGACGCAAGCGATGGAAGCGCGCTGACCGCGGTCCATCCAGCACCATGGCGACCACCTCGTCCATGTTCATGTACTCGCTCACCATCCAGCCGCCCACAGCCATCACGCAGGCCATCCTCGGGCAGTTCTCAGGCACCAAGGAGCAGCAGATCGTCACCGCGGCCGGCTCGAAGCTGACCCTGCATCGCACCGACCCGTCGCAGGGTAAAGTGCAGACGCTCTTCTCGCAGGACGTCTTTGGCATCATCCGCTCCCTCGCCGCGTTCAGGCTCGCCGGCAGCAGCAAAGGTATGCTCTCCCCCTGCTGTGATGTCCCTCTCTCCTGCTCCCTAAGGCCAGTTAGTGATGTTTTATCTTAAAAGAAGCTCCCCCGGGGTCTCAATGGCGGCCTTTTTTGTGTTGATTCCGTGGATCTCAATTGTGTGTGTGCTGTATATATGAGAGCGTTGTGTGCTGAGTGTTGATAGACTACATCATAATCGGCTCGGACTCTGGGAGAATCACCATTGTCGAGTACGTGCCGGCCCAGAACCGCTTCAATCGCATCCATCTCGAGACCTTTGGCAAGTCCGGCGTCAGACGCGTCGTCCCGGGCCAGTATCTCGCCGTTGACCCCAAGGGCAGGGCCTGTCTGATCGCCTCCGTCGAGAAGAACAAGCTCGTCTACGTGCTCAACCGCAATGCGCAGGCCGAGCTCACCATATCCTCGCCCCTCGAGGCCCACAGGCCGCAGACGGTCGTCTTTGCTCTCACCGCGCTTGACGTGGGCTACGAGAACCCCATCTTTGCCGCTCTCGAGGTCGAGTACACCGAGGTCGATCAGGACCCCACCGGCCAGGCGTACGAGGAGACCGAGAAGATGCTTGTCTACTACGAACTCGATCTCGGACTCAACCATGTGGTCAGACGGTGGGCTGATCCGGTCGACCGCACCGCCTCCATGCTCTTCCAGGTGCCCGGCGGTGCTGATGGTCCCAGTGGTGTCCTCGTTTGCGCAGAGGACAACATTGTCTACCGTCACTCGAACCAGGACGCCTTCAGGGTTCCTATCCCCCGCAGACGTGGGCCTACCGAAAATCCAGAGAGGAAACGATGCATCACCGCCGGAGTCATGCACAAGATGCGCGGTGCTTTTTTCTTCCTTCTGCAGTCCGAAGACGGCGACCTTTTTAAAGTTACCATGGAGATGGTAGAAGACGAGAACGAAAAGGCCACCGGAGAAGTAAAGAGACTCAAACTCAAGTACTTTGACACCGTCCCCTTAGCTTCAAGTCTATGTATTCTCAAGAGCGGTTTCTTGTTTGTAGCCAGTGAAACCGGCAACCAGCATTTCTACCAGTTTGAAAAGCTAGGAGATGATGACGACGAGATTGAATTCATCAGCGATGACTACTCAGCCGTTATCTCAGAACCCTTGCCCCCAGTCTACTTCCGGCCCCGACCAGCCGAAAACTTGAACTTGGTAGAGAGCATTGCCTCTCTAAACCCGCTCATGGCTGCTTCTATTGCAAACATCACAGAGGAAGATGCTCCTCAAATATACACTCTATGCGGCACTAGTGCCAGAAGTAGCTTTAGAACACTGAAACACGGCCTCGAAGTATCGGAGATCGTCGAGTCCGAGCTTCCCAGTGTTCCGTCAGCCGTTTGGACTACCAAGCTGTCCCGGAATGACCAATTCGACGCCTACATTGTGCTATCCTTTTCAAATGGCACCCTCGTCTTGAGCATTGGTGAGACCGTGGAAGAAGTCACTGATACCGGCTTCCTCTCGTCTGCTCCCACTCTCGCTGTGCAGCAATTAGGTGAAGACTCTCTCATCCAAGTCCATCCAAAGGGTATCCGACACATCCATGCAGACCAGAGAGTAAATGAGTGGCCGGCTCCTCAGCATAGATCTATTGTTGCCGCTACCACAAACGAGAGACAAGTAGCCATTGCCCTGAGCTCTGGTGAAATCGTCTACTTTGAAATGGACACCGATGGCTCACTGGCCGAATATGACGAAAAGAGACAGATGTCCGGCACAGTGACCTGTCTGAGCTTGGGAGAGGTTCCCGAGGGACGAGGAAGAAGCTCGTTCCTCGCTGTTGGATGTGACGACTCGACCGTCCGAATCCTCAGTCTTGATCCAGATTCCACACTGGAGAATAAATCCGTCCAGGCCTTGACGTCCGCGCCATCTGCCCTATCCATCATGTCGATGATAGATTCTACCTCTGGTGGGTCGACGTTATACCTCCATATCGGACTCTACTCTGGTATCTACCTGCGTACTGTCCTAGATGAAGTGACCGGAGAATTGTCAGATACTCGGACCCGCTTCCTTGGCGTCAAGCCGGTCAAGCTGTTCAGTGTCTCAGTCAAGGAGCAGAGAGCCGTCCTCGCGCTCAGCTCCCGGTCCTGGCTAGGATACTCTGATGTCCAGACAAAGAGTTTTACCCTCACGCCCTTGAACTACGTCGGATTAGAATGGAGCTGGAACTTCTCCTCTGAGCAGTGCGTGGAGGGCATGGTCGGTATCCAGGGCCAGAACTTAAGGTACGTTTCAATAATTCCATCCACTGTTTTATGTTTATGTCTTCTTTTTTTGCATGATGAGCTCCAACTCCTATCGCCTACACCGGCATGAGGATGAAACTTTTTATTTATTTATCCAATTGTTCCTACTGAGCAAAACCTCCTTCGCATCATCTATTCTTCTTCCACTTGATTATTTGAATAGTGACTAATGCGTTTTGACAGAATATTCTCCATCGAGAAACTGGACAACAACCTCCTTCAAGAGCCAATTCCTCTTGCTTATACCCCTCGAAATTTTGTCCGACATCCCGAATACCCCCTTTTCTACGTCATTGGATCCGATAACAACATTCTCTCACCCGCTACTAAGGCCAAACTACTCAGTGAATCAACCACAGTCAACGGTGATAGTGCTGAGTTACCTCCAGAGGACTTTGGTTATCCCAGGGGCACAAATCACTGGGCCTCATCCATTCAAGTTGTGGACCCTATCCACACCAAGTCTGTCTTGTCTAACCTCGAGCTCGAGGACAATGAAGCTGCTGTAAGTATTGCAGCGGTATCATTCACCAGCCAAGAAGACGAAACGTTCCTTGTAGTAGGAACAGGCAAAGACATGGTCGTCAGTCCCCGCACCTTCACATGTGGTTTCATTCATATATATCGATTCCAAGAAGAAGGTAAAGAGCTAGAGTTCATCCACAAGACAAAGGTTGAACAACCGCCACTAGCCCTGCTCGGATTTCAAGGCCGTCTTCTTGCCGGTATTGGTCCTGATCTAAGGATCTACGACCTTGGAATGAGACAGCTTCTTCGAAAATGTCAGGCCCAGATAACGCCGCGCGTGATTGTCGGACTTCAGACCCAAGGAAGCCGAATCATCGTCAGCGATGTCCAGGAGAGCGTCACATATGTTGTTTACAAGTACCAAGAAAACGCCCTTATCCCCTTTGCTGACGACATCATACCCCGCTGGACCACATGTACCACAATGGTGGACTACGAGACCGTCGCGGGCGGCGACAAGTTCGGCAACATATGGCTCCTTCGATGTCCTACAAAGGCATCTGAAGAAGCTGACGAAGACGGTTCCGGCGCACATCTCATTCATGAACGACAGTATCTCCAGGGCGCACCGAACAGGCTCAGCCTGGTCATCCACTTCTACTCCCAAGATATACCTACAAGCATCCAAAAGACCCAATTGGTTGCTGGTGGACGAGACATTCTTGTCTGGACCGGCCTCCAAGGTACAGTCGGGATGTTTGTTCCATTCATCACCCGTGATGACGTCGATTTCTTCCAAACCCTCGAGATGCAACTTGCTTCACAGAACCCTCCATTGGCTGGACGAGATCATCTTATCTACAGAGGCTACTATGCGCCATGTAAGGGCGTCATTGACGGAGATCTCTGTGAGACTTTCTTGCTTCTGCCTAATGACAAGAAGCAAGCTATAGCAGGTGAGCTCGATCGATCAGTTCGGGAAATCGAGCGTAAGATTTCGGTACGTACTATCCCCCCTTCGGCAAACATTATTGACTATTTATCTAACATCATACAGGACATGAGGACAAAAGTAGCCTACTAACCTCACTATCGCTACCACGTTAATGAAAATACCATCCATGTTGGCGTCGGACTTGGGTACATGGGTACATGGTGCAAAGGGATGTACATCGTCTTCACCTTCAGCAGCTTAAATCACAGCTTCAACGGAATATAAATACATTTAATACTCGAGGATGATCAAAAACATCCATCCAATCCCGTCACAACTACTCTCCATATTAACGCGTCTCTTGCCTCGCTCGGTCAGCGCGTCATTTCAATCGTCTGATCTTGAGCTGGATGCATCCGTCTTTCGTCCCAGTGATGTAGATGAATTGTATGAGACTAGAGGAAACCTTTTAGCCGGTGATCTTTGAGTACGGTCCTTTCCGATCCTTTCCACGGAATTGGGTATCGTAATTTATCCGTCGGTACATCCTGCATCTCGTAGTTATAGTTGTGGTCTTCATCTATCATCAATCCACGCTCAGTTTAGTTGCTTCGGCTATTACTCGGGAATATATAAAACTAGCATCAAGCGGGGATGGGAGTCCGGTTAATAGTTAACATAGCGACTACCAACTACATAATATCAATCCATCTATGCATCCATCACATCCAGAAGCACCATCAATCACTCTAAGTCAAAAGTACTAGTTAACTTAGATATGTCGCAAAAACTCAACGTTGCCATCGCGCAGTGCCGCACCCGCGATACTCTTACCGAGACACTCAACGCCCTCGAACAAGTCACCATTAAAGCAGCAAACCGTTTAGCCAATATTCTTCTCTTCCCAGAGGGATATCTAGGCGGATATCCTCGAGGCTGCAACTTCGGGGCAGCAATTGGATCTCGCAACGACGCGGGACGAGACCAGTATCTAGAATATTTCAAAGCTGCAGTTGACTTTGGAGATACCCCCATCCCCAGCGAAGATGACTGGGTTAAACGAAAGCTCCCTGTTGCTAAAGGGAAGAATTATAGAGGCGATGGTACTCGAGAGTTCCTTGAGCAAGTGGCTAGGGAGAATGGCGTGTTGCTTGTTGTAGGTGCTATTGAGAGGTGCGCTGGCAGCTTATACTGTGCGGTTGTCTACGTTGATCCGAAGAAGGGCATGATAGGCAAGAGAAGGAAGGTCATGCCAGTAAGTAGCTATACTATTCCCCCTCCCATGATTAAATGTCTATGGATGAATTGCAGTTGTCCTAATTAATACTGCAGACTGGGACGGAACGGCTGGTGTGGGCTCAAGGTCCGGCATCAACTTTGAAAGCTGTCACTACGGAAATCAATGGAGTGAAGCTCACGCTTGCCGCAGCTATATGCTGGGAGAATTACATGCCTTTGCTTCGACAGGCTATATATCAGCAGAATGTCAACCTCTACCTGGCCCCTACAGCTGATGGAAGAGATACCTGGCTTCCACTGATGCAAACTATTGCCCTGGAGGGCCGTACGGTCGTCCTCAGTGCCAATCAATGTCTAAAACGCAGCCATTTGCCTTCCTGGGTCACGAATGATATCAAACAGGAAGGCAAGGATAGTTCTGATGATGCTTTCGTCACTGGAGGAGGCAGCTGTATCATCAGCCCTGCTGGAAAAGTACTGGCAGGTCCTATATGGAATGTTACGGACGAGGATGAGGAGAGCCTGCAGGTAGTTGAAGTTGATTTTGAGGATTGCGTGAGAGGACGACTGGAGCTGGATGTTGCTGGCAGTTATTCGCGCAACGATTCGTTCAAGTTGACAGTGGAAGGGCTGGATTTGAACCCTCCTCCACAGTAAATACGTAGGGGTAGTTCGCACTAGCCATAGACTTTGGACTCGAATGAACTGAGCATCCACTTAGTGTAATGATTAATTTCATTCTATATGCAAATGCTATTCTTTTTTAGTCTCTATCCTTTTGAAACCTTGTAACTAACCAAATGTAAACGCCAAAGTGGTATTTCGCCCAAAAGCAAGAGAGAAGTATTCGCCAACAGAATAAAAAAAATACCAAATAAGCCTACCTGAGGAGATTGCTGTCACCGCGAAGTATAAAGCACGCTCAGCATTATGCAAGCATATCATCCAACTTCTCTCCTAGGATATCTTCGATCATGAGAACCCATTTCCTGACCTCTTTCTCGACATTTTCATCATCATCCTCCATCAATTCGCTGATAAAGGGTAGCATTTCAGGTAGCAAAGCAAGCCACTCTTCGCCGAGCTCTTCAGTCAGGCTTTGCTCGCACTTGACCGCCGCAAGCCGAGTAAATGGGTTTACTCCTTTGCAAGAATCAGCATTGCCACCACTAGCACGCATATATTTCATAATATGAGTGTTCAATTCCTTTTGGTTATCAGGGGAATCCGCTGCAATCGCGAGAGCGACAATAGCTGGGGTTGCTTCGGCTGTAACCAACTTGAAGGATGCTTTGCTGTTGGCAATGGAGAGTTGGCTGATAAGGTGACTGGAAATTGAGCTGAGGTGACTAGGTGATTGCCAGAATTCTGTCATGTACTAGTTAGTGTACAGGTCCTTTTTTATATGATCCAAATTCACGAGTCTGGAGAACATACCATCCTGGTCATGCTCGAATGAGTTCCGGAGTGTTCGCATTACAGCTGTCCATAAGGTCTGATTTTCTTTTACATTCGGTCGGACGTTCTTCAGTATGTCGACAACGTTTTCAATGATATAGCTGGAATAACCGGTAACGATGGACTGTAGATATTCTTAGTATAGAAACGTAATATATCGGTTCGAAAAACCAAGTACAAACCTTGAGGGTACCAAAGAAAGTTTCAAGAAACTTGTAGAATGTCGTCAGTCTTGCTTGTCTGCCAGGCAAATCAGACTTGTCTAGCTCCGCTGTAGCCCACTCAGTGAGTTGCGTGAAGAGCGGACGGAATATGGTATCATTCAGTTTATATATCATTTTAATCGTTAGGTCGTTGATGGAAGACTCTATGTCATCAACCTGGTGTCCCTCAAATCTATCGCTAGCGGGTAAGCTGAGTTGAGCTCTTCGGAAGTCTAATACTTTCCACAGCAACCTCGAGAGTGCAGGAACATTCTTGATAGTATCCGACTTAGAGTGTTTCTCAATCGATAGCTTGACAACCTCGAGGGTTTCTTTGGCGGCCTACACACACATTATTAGCCTCGTGTATAATTTCTCGAAAAATCTCAAACTCACCTTTGACCCGTTCGATACTGAGAAGTCCCAATTGCGTTCAACTGCATTATATACTTCCTTCGCATCCACACGTTTTGCCAATAGCTGAAGGGCCTCTTGTCGATTGATGTTACAATCTTCCGACAAGCTAGCGTGGGCTGAGCTTGAAGAAAGGCATAGAACTTTGTCCAAGTCCTCTGACGAGATCATGTAAGGAATGTGAACGAATAGTGCTGAAAGTAGCGAGTATATGGCATCGTGTAGCTCTGGGTTTTGTTCCTTGGCCTGAATACTGCTTTGTAGTAGATCCAAGGAGCGAGGGAGTGCGGTAGGTAGTACAGGGATTATTGCATCCGCAATGACCTCCGTCATAGATGCAAGGCACAATGCACCGATGATACGGATGCGATTGTCTGCGAGCCCCATACACTTGTCGCCGGCGACCACGATCGCTGACTCAACGACCTTTTCTGGATTCTTCTTCCCGTACTTCTCTGAAATCTTTTCCATACAGGCGACAGCCGCATGTTTCAATAATATATCGGGAGACGTTTCGACAATTCCGACAAGAACAGACAGGAAAGAGAGAGCCTTCGATTGGGATGCTGTATCTCTATCGTTGCTATTGTCAAGACGATTCTCAAGTAGCCTGAGGACTTGTCTGCGGAGGTCATCCTTTGGCCTTTGCAGTAGAACCTCAATCGTGTCAATGAAATCAACAAGAGATAGAGTGCCTAGCAAAGTAGCAAGAGCATCACCACAGGCGATATTTATGGCTCTAATGGAACGAACAGATTCGCCTAAGGCCAGGAGACGTTCCAGCATACCAGAAAATAGACTGTGCACCTTCTTGGCATCTTCTGTATCGTCAGACTCGAAGTACTGAACCATCTTATTACCAAGGGAGGTAAATTTGAGCAGATGAGAGAGCGTCTGAAGTAAATCAACGGCAACTTTATGGGGCTCTCTTCCATCCTCACTTCCAATACCAAGGAGAATGCGGGAGATGGTTGGCTTTGGCTGAAGCGCGTCTTGAACCAGGCTCAAGTACCGGGCGTACGTCTATAAAAACGTTAGTAATCGAGTAAGTCCTATGTGTCCGACAACCTTCAAGATGTTTACCGTAAGCTGAAGTTGAGCCTCCGCATTAGACGCAAGAGCAGTCATAGTGACCAGGACATCCCGATCCATGCCGTACTTGGTGGCTAGCATGGCCAGAACAGCAAAGAGGAAGTCCTCCTGCCCAAGTTTGTTCACGAGAGACTCAAATAGCCTGAGGCGGCGATATGAGGGAATATGTTCATATGCAGTGGTGAAAGACAATAGTAGCTCAGATGTTCCTGTAACCACATCCCTCTTTTGGACTCGGAGGGAGCGAACCAGAGGAGGAATAACTTGATCAATGGTCTAGGGGAGTAAAGGTCAGCATCGCAAGGCTATAGAGATATTATCAACAGATGCTTACCTGGTCAATAACAAGGGCTGAATAGTCATCATCTTTTCGGAGGACGCTTGAACCCATGAAGGTAAAGATGGGCATAACACTGTGTAGAACAATTTCAGGAGCTACCGTCGCCAGGGCTGCAACAAGCAGAAGAGCAGTGTTCTGAACCTGCTGACTCTCAGATGTGCGAACACAGTCGATAATAAGGTCGGCTCTAATGACAGAAGTATCGAGTTTCTTTGGTGAGCCCTGTAGGTATTGTTAGTAGATGAATATGCAATAAAGAATGTATTAATACCAACCTTGTATTTATTGACAACAGATAGGAGGACACCAAGGTTGAGGCTAAGAAGGTAGCTCATTTCTGAGCGAACTTGGAGCTTTAACTTGTGAACAATGGCAAGAGTTTGAAATAGGCCACCAAGAAGCTCGGGGAATCTTTCGGGCTGAGAAGCATCAATTAGCTCGAGAATAAACGAAATTCTCCGAAGAGGAATATTCGCTTCTTCCCGACTGGCAGGGCTCATGACTGCCATGTTGCTCTGGCTCATTCTCCGTCTCTTCGGAGCAGGTGACTGAGAATCAATATTGAAAGAGGCCGAAGTTACTGTGCTGAGGAATTTGGAGATAACTGGACCTGACAAGTCCACAGACCGAAGAAGTTCTTTGCTAGAATTCGCCAAGTCACCAGTTTGGGGCTTAGTCGAAAGACACATATCGAGCAAAGTCTCTGATGCGAATAGCTCTTTCTCCTCATCTAAGAATGGCCAGATATCTTTCATGCGTTCGAAAACAGCCCCAATGAATGAAGCCCTTGTAGATTGAGGGGTGTCCTTCAACAGTGAGAGAAGGGTAGAGATTGCAGTCGTATCTTTTGGATAGATAATAGATAGAACTTGTTGCTCCAATTCCTGAATCGAAACGTGCTCTTGCGTACTAATACGCTTTATCTTCTCGGAATCAATTGTTCTGCATTGCTCAAGTATGGGAGACAAGAATTGAGTACGGGCAGTTGACCCAATTTTGCTGATTCGGTTGACAATAGACAGGAGTCTGAGTTTTGTAGCAAAGAGAGGGGTATTTATGATATGTGAGCAGATGAAAGAGAAGAAATCTCGGCGAACCGATTTTCTCAGCCCTGAACCATCCTCCGAAGTTCCTTTGACAGTCTGCACGAATGTTTCAAAGACTCGTGAGGGATCAAGGATGCACTCCTCCAAGCTAGGCATAAACCCTTTGTCAAACAAGGTATGGATGTCCTTCCCAGGCAGCCACTGGACAGCCTTTGACTGTTCATTGTCACCATATATTATACCCTGGCCCCAGGGTGCTTCCTCGATGTCAGGGATAAAATATTGATTGTCGATGGAGGTCAGGAGCGCAGCCGCTTCCCTTCTGACGGGCGTTGAAGGATCGGATAAAGCGGATATAGCATATGGAATTAACGCTTGCAAATCAATTGCTCTGCCATTTGATTCAAGAATAGACGCTGTAACAATATTGATGGCCTTGGTACGCGCTAGAGGTGGATGAGGGCCGGAAAAATATCGCACGAAGAAAGAGAAGTAAGTCAAGTCCTTGAATCTGGTATTTCTGCGAAGGATTGGTAAACCGAGGAATTGACCCAGCTTGTTCGCGGATGTTGTTGCTTGAGTGAAACAAACAACTAGTTCGCTGAATAGAAGTGAAGGGGACTCGACAAGGAAGTTTTCGGGTTGTTGACTTCGTCGTTGGGAAAGAGATGCAATTGCAGCTGCAAACTCCTCATCTTGGGTGCTGTTTTCAGGGATGTCCTCCATTTCAACGTCTTCTGTTTCAGCAGATCCCAAGTTGTTATCAATGGCGAGCTGAAGGGTTATTTCTAAAGTTTTAATATCGACGTTGGATTCGGAGATTGCTCTCTGAAGCACAATATCAAGTTCCTTAGATTCAACAAAGGCTGCAAGCGTATCTGAAGACAGCTGGCGTACTTCCTCAGACATAAAACCTTTACGATGAGATTCATCGATTGTCTTCAGGAGCGCTACTATTGTCTGTGTCTTGTCCTCGGCGCCCATTATATCACTCTGGAGTACCTGGCCAACAAGAGATACACATTTAGCTGCAACTTCCTCATTATCGTTCTCCATAAGAACATTCATCAAGCCAGAAAGCAAGTGGACTATTGAATTAGATGCTGCAAGACCTGCAAAAACATCAGCCACATCTTCCAGGCGAAGAATTGACTTAACAACAGGCTTCGGGAGCTTTAGATGTTCCTTGTGTTGAAAAATCACTGCAAGACATGTGATTCCTGAGGTAATGGTATCTTGGGTCCAAGATCCTGCTACGGCCTCCATCAAGCTATCGATAGCATGGTCACTGAGAGACCCCTTGTTGGCCAAGACAACACACAGCATGTAGCAAGCAATGACGAGCTCTGGAGCCTTTTTCAATGACAGGCCGGTGCTAAGTGTTGGCAGAATACGAATCAAAACATCCTCCTTATTTCGGCGTTCGACTTCTAATCTCCCTGATTGCGCAGAGTCTAGCATTGTAGATAGAGCCTCCGTCATAATACCAGCCCAGAAAGAAGTCAGGCCCTGATAGTGCGCTCGAGCTTTGCCGACTTGCATAACATAACTATTCAAGGCAGAGAAAAACTCCTTATTCGTCGACGCACTGTGTACAAGGGAGGTTCGTGTAGGCAGAATTAAGCTTCGCTTATATGGATGTAGGACTTTAAAGGTAGACGTCAGGTTCTCCGGCAGGATGGATAGAAGGTTGAGGAATAAAGGCGTGGTATGGTATGGTAGAAATGTGAGAATAATAGCACGGGTATTGTGCTCATGTACCCTAGATAGAACGATACATCAGTTAGCAAGCTGCTTGGCCAACTTCCAAACAGCCATTGAGTGATGACATACCGAAATCGACGAACAAGCCAATCCACAGCCTTCACAGCCGGATTGAGAAGCAGCCGGCCACCAACCAGGGCTAGGAATTCTTCTATGACAACATCTAGCTCCTTATTCTGCGCGGCCGTCATCTGGCTTCTGTCTTCCACTTTGCTCTGCTCACTGAAAAGATTCTGCTGGAACGGCTGAAAGCGAGGATCGAGGGCGCATAGTTCTTGAAACCCTTCATAGTACAGCTGGTATATCGTATCAAAATCCTGTGTGCTAGCAATCTTCTTCTCGAATATCAACGATTGAGCGTGGGCCGATCGCTGGGCTTTCAGGTCGAACTGATGGGTTGCTTTGGCCGCAACTTGCGACAGTTGCGCGGCGAGCGACGACGCCATTGTTCAGGGAAGAGCGAATGTTATTAGTTAGCGAGGGTATCTAATTCATAATAGCAGCTGTCCTCTCGTCCACCGTCCACCAGGCCCAAGAGAGCTCTTCTTGTGCGCAGGTTGCAAGCTGTTTCTTCTTCGTCCGCGAAATCTTTCAAATCTCGAAGAAAAAAAAGCATAAAATTCTCTGGTTGCCAAGGGAAGTTTTTCCCGAGTCCCCATCCGCCAAGAAAGTGCAAGTCTAGCCGGTCTCTTATCTACGAGCCTCAACGTCAGCGCGATCAATCAATTGATTAATTAATTGGACAAGTTGCTGAAAGACAGGAGACAAGCCACAGATGCGCAGCGATTAAGAGGGAGCCATGGACTCCGATGGGGGGAAGGTAAGTGGCAGCCTGATGCTCTTTCAAGCAAGCTGTGACTGACCTGCTTGTTACCTTCACTCAGGGAAAAGCGCCGATTCCAAAATTCGGCAGCTTCAAGCCGCGACCAGTAGCCCCAGCGCGAGATCGTGAGAGCAGAGACGAAAAGAAGTCCTCGAAGGAGGCTTCAAGTAGTCGTCATGGAACCAAAGAGGCTGTTAGCTCATCAAAACATGACCGTCGAAGGGAGGACAGACGAGAAACGAGAGATCATCGTACCAGTAGACCTCCACGCGAGCAACCTGCGGGCAGATTGAAACTACAGGATGAGACGGATCTCTACGTGCTCGATCCTACAGGTGATCCATATACCTTGATCTATGGTTCTCTCCATAAGTACGACATTCCCCGATACTATCGTTTTGGCGCAGGCAGAGTTCTAGGGCTTTCCACAGCTTACACCATCGATCAAGACCTCAGCAGTGATTCAAAGATAGTGATAAAGCTAAGAGGGGCAGAAGATACATCACAGCGCAACCACAAGGTGCTCTGGAAATCGGCTTCAAAATTGACAAAGCTGCGGCGCCTGCTACCGCGTCCAGCTGAGACACCAGAGCTGGAGCGGGATTTTCTTCCACTGAGTGAAGGTGGGAGTAGAAAAAGACGGCGCATAGCGGATGGGCACTATGATACTGGTTATGCGGTCACGGTAACGGAAGAGGAGAAACTCCCCGACTACCGATCCATTGAAGGGAAAGCTAAACCCCAACGAGAATCTGATGATGAAACTGATATGGGGTCAGATTGGAGTCTAGAATCGGACGGAGAAGGTGCTAGACTACGAAATGCTAGGCTGTTCTCAAGTGCAAATGACAATCCGGACGACGTGGAAGGCTGGCTCCAACTTATCGACCATCAAGAGAAGATGGTTGGTTTCACGGACAGAGAGGGCTATCGAAAGCATACGCTCGCCGAGAAAAGAGGCATTGCTGATATGAAGGTATCATTATATGAGAAAGCTTTGAAAAGTATTTCTCCCAAAGTTCCACGAGACAGGCTTTTGCTTGGAATGATGGAAGAGGGCTCTCTCCTTTGGGACCAAAAGACTCTATTGGACAAATGGAAGTCTATTTTACAGTTCAACTCGCGCTACATCTCTCTCTGGATTAAATATTTGGACGTTCAGCAGACCACGTTCAACAATTTCACCTATGAAAAGTGTCGATCGGTATTTTTAGAGTGCTTGAGAGTCAACGAGAACCAGACGGATAGCACCGAGAAACAGATTATTAGCCTTTATATCCTCCTGCGTCTTAGTCTGTTTATGAGAGAAGCTGGCTTTATTGAGCACTCAATTGGCCTTTGGCAAGCCTTACTAGAATATAACTTTTGCCGCCCGCAGGACCTCAATCCAACGACCAATCGAGCGGTCACTGTTTCGGCATTTTCTGGGTTTTGGGAAACTGAGGCTCCCAGAATCGGTGAAGTTGGATCAAAAGGCTGGGACAGGTCTACTGAAGATTCACCAGATCCGAAAACAGATCTTGGCATTCCAGATATCGATATCAAAGATGTCTTTGGCTCTTGGGGAGACATTGAGCAAACCTTGATATCCTCATCATTTTTACCAGCTAGAACACTGGACGAAGTGCAAGAAGACGACCCTTACCGAGTAGTCCTGTTTTCTGATATTTCTGAATTCCTTGTTCAATTTTCAGATCCTCCTATGCTACATTTACTCGTGGATGCATTTCTCATATTTTGTCGCCTGCCGACAATATTGAACGAAGGTAGTGAAAGAACGTCTACTTGGCATATAGATCCTTTCCTGTCGAACAGGAATCTAGATGATATGCGCAGGTCTCCTTCAGAATGGTTCGCTTACATCGCCGCAAAAGACGAAGAGATAGAGGGACATTCACCATTTACCTTTCCCTGTTCGTCTTTCAGGAATGGTTTCGATACACTGTTTGGCGATGGAAAGCACTGGTTCTCAACTTTTCAATCTTGGAAAGCCACTTATCTGGCGAGAAATAGCCCGATTGATGTTGAATGGGTTCGGAGGTCTTTGAAAATGCTAGTCTCAAAAATACAGGATAACGACCACTTCGCAGCCTATACTATTGCCTTTGAGTACAGTGTTGACCCCAAGGAGGCGAAAAAGTACGCGAAAAGCCTCTTGAAGCAGCGCCCTTCCAGTATCAAGCTATACAACTCCTATGCCCTGCTTGAGGCTAGGAATGGCCAACTTGCAGCTGCCGAGAAAGTCTGGACAACCACTCTTTCCATGAGCCAAAGTTTCTCTAAGGAGGCAGCGCTTGACTGCATTATTCTTTGGCACAGCTGGGTATGGGAAGCTCTTAACAGCCAGAACCGGGAAAGAGCAACCCGTTTGCTAGTTGCGGTTCCAACTAGTACCTTCAACCCAGATTCTTCTATGGAAACTGGAGCTAGTGACGTTGTGGTCAGTTCCACAGAGCTGCTAAAGGCAAGGAGAGTATGTATTTTGCTATCTTCTACCCACTGTCTGAACATTGCTAACCTTTTGATAGTACCTGAGTGATATCCAAGCCCATGGGCTTACATTCCGCAATCCAGACATATTTGTATGTGCTACTGACTGCTTAGCCCTGTTACTCTACCTTACGCAAGATCAAGCGCTTCCAGAAGCCCTCGACGTGTACGATAATGCGGAACAGCGCCTTGAATCCCAGAAACTGGATAAAGCAACCTTCTTGGAGCCTGTCCATCAAGCAAAGGCCAGGTTGCTATATCACCACACTATTGAAAATCGCGTATATAAACCTGCACAAGTTCGCGAGGAGTTGTACAAGAGCATCTTACTCTTCCCACGAAACACAATCTTTCTGAGTCTCTTCGCCTTTAACGAGGCTCGATTCAGAATTGAAAACCGCGTTCGCTCTCTTCTCACCCGCCAAATCCTGGAGCCAGCTGGGAATGGCCGATCTATTGAGAAACAGGCAACCCTTATTCCTCACCTGTTTTTAGTATACTCTGAACTTCACAGGGGTGTCTCTGCCGGTTCCACCGCTCATTCCGTTCGTGCTGCCTTTGAGTCAGCGGTGTCTTCGCAACCCGGCCAACACAATGCCGGGCTATGGAAGTTATTCGTTCAATTCGAGCTAACACTTGGTGAGAGTGAGAAGGGACGTCAAGTGTTTTTTCGCTCGATTCGAGCATGTCCTTGGTCCAAACAGTTGGTTCTTTTGGCGTTCACTGAGTCACGCCTTAGAAAATCGATGGGGTTTGAAGAGTTGAGAAAAGTCTTCAACGTGTTTGTAGAGAAAGAGTTGAGGGTCCATGTTGACCTGGAGGAGTGGCTTGAGGAGAACGAAGCACAAATCAGGCCGCACGATACTGGTGTAGAGCTAAAGCCTCCGATTACCATGCCTGACGATAGAAGCTCAGATGAGGATTAAATTAATTTTGTACCCTTCAAGTCCAGCACCGTACGATATATATGAAAACGGCATCCAGCATCTATGTAAATAAGATAGCGAATATCTAGTTAATTATCCAAAGTCCCCAACGCCTGGCTCATGGTAGGTAGAACAAACCCTCTAGCCTCTCTTCGTTCCTTTACCCAGGACCCTAGCTCGGCCCAGATAGCCTCCTTCTCGGCCAGGCTCATTGATGCTGCCAGCCCGCTGGTGGTTGTGGCTACGAACACCCTCGCACCAGGCCATGCATCTCGATTGTTGCCTCCGACCACTGGCCTAACCCGTCCCATATTCTCCTCTTCGTCCTGCCACCCGTACTTGAACTCCTCCTTTTTTATATTCCTCCCATGTTTCACGCGCCAGACAGCCTCCCATATGCCCTTTCCTACAAGACAGACAGCCTCAGGCCGGAACCGCGCAATCTTCTCTTCCAGCACGGGCACTCCAGCGTTCATCTCCTCCTTTGATAGCTGGCTTGCATCGCGCGTAGGACGCACCACGATGTTCGTGTTGCCGATACAGTAGAGCTCCGGCATGCGGTATGTATCCGACGGCGGATGGCGGAAGGTAGTTATCCCTGAAGAGTGTAGGAGGCGCCAGTACAGGTTAGACGGATGAGCGTATGCATATCCTGTCTGGCCGGTCATGATGCCCGGGTTGACGCCGATGAGCAACAGGACGAGATTCTCCGGTATAGAGTCCCTAAGGCGAGAGACAGGTCCCCTGGATGATTCTGATGCTGTTGATGCATCATCTTCCGCCTTTATGGGGGTGCCACTGCTGGCATTCCTGGATGTTCGTGGAGGAGCTGACCGGGTACTTTGCCTGGACGGCCTGGACATCGCTACCAGGGTCGACTGCGTCAGAGACTTGGACGAGCGAGTCTTCCGGGGCGATACAGGTGCCGACAGGACCTTTTTCTCATCTTCGGCGTCTTCGTCTTCCTCTTTGATGCCGATTTTGCGTTTCAGCGACTTGACCGGCGATGCACTGGGTGTTGCACCGGGGGAATGGATGAATTTGTCCAAGCTGCCGTTGAACGACCGGGGAGCCTCTTCGTCGTCCATCCTTCTCAGTTGGCGGCTGGTAGTAATGAAGTATTATTACTTGATTGAAGCTGGCTGCAAGCCACCAGCAGCTGGCCGTGTCGGCGTTTTTATGGGCTTGATGCAGGATGCGGCTCAAA